ACACACACACACACACACACACACACACACACACACACACACACACAGGGGATTAAAACAATCGGACCGCTAAAGCGTCTAAGGAGGGTTAAGAGATTAGAAGACACACTTCTTACACACACATTTACCTACAAACACATCTTTTTATTACAACATAATGTACAGCAATGCAACAAATATAATTTTGTTTCCAGAAAACAGGAAACTTAATGATGGAAGTACAAGAACAAACAAACGGCATTATTAAGAGCTGTTCAACAAACAGTCATGAATGTTTTTGTGTCGTTATTACAAACTTTATGTGGAAGTATTTCTTTGCACTTGTTATACTTGCTTGGAGCCACCTTGGAGGGCAGTTCAGACTGTCTTGAGTAGACATTTGATAACAGGAAAGCCTCTTACATTCTGTGTGTTTTACAGGTAGGGCCCCCATCCCAGATACATCTGACAGAGCAGCTTGTCGTCTGTTGCTTCCTGTATGAGGTAGTGGACGTGTCCCTCTATGGACAGAGGCAGACCGAGTACTTTGTTCCTGCTCTTTATTACTCCCTGCAGACGCTGGTCGATTTCACACACGTGGGTTTTCGCCTGGAGGAGAAAGAAGGGGGGGGGCGCGCATTAATAAGTTATATTAGACATGCACGCTGCTCTAAATGCATGTAAACAAAATCCACCTCCAAAATGCACACACCTTTTCATTAACTATCTCTCCGGTCTCGTTGGCCTGAGCTTTTGAAAGTCCTTTGGCTTGTTTGCTCCACTCCACCAGCGGGTCATGAAGGAAGGTCTTAAGCACACTTAGAGGGAACGTTAAAAACAAAAATGTAACTTTAGAAACCTTTTTTAAAAAACAGTAACTATAGAACTATACACTCCTTGCTTGGTAAACATACTCTACCCGCTGTCTTTTAAAAACATTATTTCTGTACTTCATTGAGACAAGGTTTGAAGGAATATTATTTATGTTTGTGTACCTCATGAGCGGTTCCCTCTGGTCTCGCATTAGTCTCAGGGTGACCTCACAGGCCTGTCTGAAGAGACCCTCGGTGCCCATGGGCCCCATGGCGTGGACCATGTTCTGGGTCAGACGGAAGGGAACCACCTCGGGGACGTCAAAGGTCTCCCCCTAGTGGAGAGGGAAAAAAGGAGCGGTAGAGAAATGAGGGGAAAGGTCAGGCAACAGGAAAAAGTAGGACGAAATAACAATATCTAGGTATTTTACATGATTTATGATTTATCTAAATTACTCCTGATTCATTTATAATCAAAGACAATTTGAGGCAAAAACAAACCTTGTTGAAGAGGCAGTTGAAGTCGACGTGAACACATTCCCCAGTGAAAGAGTCAAAGAGGATGTTTTCTCCGTGGCGATCCCCCAGACCCAGGATGTAGCCCACCATGGACATCACGGCGGTGGAGCGGCAGTACGCAGAGCGACTGCTGTACCTGCGAACAAAGAGTGAGTGATTACTTCTTATCCCTGGATTTAACCGCAACTTAAATTGATCAACCAACCCCTCCCCGTTTAAATTAATTAATTTCAATTTAAAGGCCAGACTACAAAAGGTTAAGTACAAAAAATTATAAATAATGCTCAATTAAATGCCAGACTTAAAAGCTAAAACACAATAAATATTCGGAATTATAACATCAATAAAGCTCAATTGAAAAGCCAGACTAAAAAGGTGTTAAGATGCTTTTAAAAATACCAACATTCTCTGCTGCTATGTAATTTTAAACCCAAACTGGACCCTTATGAAATGTAAAACCATGCAAAAAGTTCTACATTTTTAAATCCAGAACTGAAAATGCTCCTTTCAAAACGTGGTAACATACACAGACAAACACACACTAAAAAAGAGTTGCAGGTGGGGTCGTACCAGGATGTGGGGTCGGGGAAGGTCCGGAGGAACCACTCGTGGAATACAGGAAGGTGTCGAACACAAAGCACCTCCTTGTGGATTCGGAGCTTCTCCTCAAAGGGGGCTGTCTTCGGAAGAATAAGCTTCCTGAGCTCTTTACCTGATAAGTAGATACCTACAACACACATACAAATATGACCAAGATACATTTTTGTTTAAGCTGACAATTTGTTTATCTCTACTTTTAGGTTTTTAAGTGGGAGTGTACCTCTCTCTTTATACAGCTTGGTGAGAATGTGTCGAAGACCAGCGGTGTTGTTGACCCATTCGATGATGCCGCACTCCTCATTGAGAGGAATCACAGCGTAGGTTCGGATATGTAGCTCCCTCCGCCTGGATTCAGCATCTTTACGCAGGCACTACACATGCAAACGCACACAGAGACCATGTACACGTGCAATAAATACTGCTGACTTTAGAGTGTGGTAACTCTTTTTACACGCATGCAGTAGACTTAACACAGAGATACTGATTTATTAGGTACAATCTAATAGGATTAACAGCCCTGTCATAAATCAATTTTTGGCAGATTTTTATAATTTCAGTTTCTGGTCACACTGTTCAGCATTGCATTGTACTGCATATTACAATATTGACAGGCGTTACTTCCATCTGGGGAGAGATGACCACTACTTCTCCATAATAATCAATATAACAAAAAAAATATTGTACAGTTAGTAAACAAATATCTCACACACACACACACACACACACACACACACACACACACACACACAC